CAGCCCAGCATTCACATCCATAGAGGACTGACCAGATGGATGCACGGTATACATGAATCTTCGTGGCGATGAAGATGTCACGTCGGGTCCATAGGCGCTTTCCAAGGGTTGAGAAAACCCAACGAGCAGCATCGATGCGGGAGACAATGTCGTCCTTGCTCTGCTCATTCGGTATCAGCCTCGCCCCGAGGTATTTAAAGCTGTCTACTGGGCTGGGTGACACTTGCTATTGGGTGGCACTACAGTATATCCCTACTTTTGAGAGGATATCAAGGAGCGCCAGTCCCATCTGAATGACAATGCCGATCAACAGGTATTACGACGACAATAATGATGAAACAGTGAGAAAAAAAATGAAAAGCACCAGACGGCGACAGGATGAAGGCCTTTTGACTGGGGGGTGGATAGGCTAAAGCAGCTCACCTTGACCGACCGGTTGGGGCCATTCCAACAGGAGTGTCCATTCTCATACAGCATCTCCTTGTAGGGCAATTTCATTTTGGCCTCTCGGTCCCAGGTCTCGGAGCCCTCGGGATGGTCGACCCAGCCCTTCCAATTGCCCAGCAGGGAGGAGGAGCCGCCACTGCGGGAACGTTGGTGAGCGTCCTTGAAGGGACAGAGGGAGTAGACGTACTCCTTGTCCTCTAGCTCCAGACAGCCCACATTAGACTCAGTCAGCATAAGGAAGCCCTGCTCGGGGCCGTAGTCGACGGGTTTTGGTGGTGGAGGAGGCGGTGGTGGAGGTCCTTCCGTCCTAAAAAAAGTTCGTTAAGAAAATTCCACTGTCAAATCTGTCGCGCACAGAGACTGCCTTTTCTTCCTGTGAGTTTTTGCCACGGGAAATAGCTTATGCAGCAGTCGGTATTTCACGCAAAATGTCGAAAGCTGGCAAAGATTGATAATCATTCGCAAATCGGCCTTAAGCAGGGTTGTGAAACTGATTACCGTGCAGCCTAATCTGAAGTCATTTGAGTCAGGACAGGATGCCAGCTGTTTAACGAGCTTCTTTCTGGCTGCTTACAAGAGGCTTATTCTGTAAAAAAGGGTCGGTAAAGTAGTATGCATTTACCTCATTGATTTTCACTGCCCTTATAAAGTCAAATACATTTTTTAGAAAGCGCTCAAAAAATTGTTCTTTCTGTACTCCTTTGCTAGCAAATTACGTCTTCTTCAAATTTTATAATTAAAGAAAGGGAATATTTCGGTTTAAAAAGTTTCTAAATTGCCGAATATTTTTGAAACCTACTGAACGTTACACGTAAAAGTAGGATTTCCAAACTGCATGCTCTAAGGAGAACCACGCATTTCTCTACGTTATAACAAAAATGTCTCATATTTTTCATAAAATTTTACAATAGATGTGAATCATGCTGCAAACATTAATAAATTGACAGATACAACGTATTATGAATGAACATTTCGGAGGCGTAAAAGTTTCGCAATTAGAAATCTTTTTTTAAAAAAAAATACAAACGGTACCCTTTTTTTCAAGTAGTAAATCTTAAGAAGACGTAATTTGCTACCAACAGAGTACAAAAAAGCCTTGATTTTGGCAATGTTTTCTATAAAATACATTTGAATTTATAAGGAGAGTCAAAATCGATGAGTTATGTCAGGGGCCAACTCAGTGACGTGCGCAAACAGCCCTGACGAAGAGTTGCCACAGCGACCAACCGGTTCACTCAGTCACAATGCAATCGATAACGCCACGCAGGTACGGCCGGCGCAGGAATATAACGCAGCTGCTACCGCAAGCGCTTCACCCACTTAAGTGCATTGTGTGACGTCTCGCTCAGACTAGAACGTCAAGTCCCATGACTCATTCAGCCAATGAAGTCGTGACTTTCTTGTGACCAGCATCTAATTGGTCCAACCTTGTACACATGGATTTGCTTGCTTAAATTATGCTGTACTAGGTTTTTCCAAGACTTCTACTTTCTACCCACTCTTGTTGTGTTCTTCCTTCGGGGCTCACACGAGGCGTTACCGACTCTTGTTGTGTTCTTCCTTTGGGGCTCACACGAGGCGTTAGTCAGACGGGAATATCGCAGCCTTTTGGCCACCGTTATAACAAGTTAAATGCATACTGCTTAAGTATCCATTTTTTTTTACAGAAAGTGCTGTTTGCAAGCGGCTGGAAAGAAGCTCGTTAAAAAGCCGACATGGCTTGAGATTAGGCTGCACAATAATTAATGTTACAACCCCACTTAATGCCGGTTTGCAAGTGATTATCAATCTTTCGCATATTTCAGCATTTTGCATGAAATACCGACCGAACTGTAGTAACACAAACCAACCAACGATAACGATGAACATGAACGGGCAGCTGTTGCGGCGAACACCCGTAGTAGACGAGAACGAGCTAAATCTGCACGAGAAAACACACCATGCACGCTACCTGATTGGCAAAATATCGACCAATCAGGAGCTGGACAGGACTATTCTGGTAACCCCGACGTGCCTCATATGCGTGCGCGAAGCACGTGCAGCAACAGGCAATAAAAGGAGCCCGCACAGGTGAGCCAGGGCTTGTCTTTTAAACGACCGCCTTGATCTGTTGGGCTACAACCGCTGGCGACGCAGGTGCAACAATATGACATCAGAAGAACAGATGAAGCACAACAGGCTACCTTCACGGCGAAACTGGCAGCCAAACAGAACACAGGGAAAACAGAGTGAGGAACGCGTAACGGAGTTGACTTACGATCTCGAAGGAGGCATTAAATTCCGATCTACAATACTAAAAAAAACAACCAATCAACGATAACGGTGAACGTGGGAGGGCAGCTGTTGCGGAGGACGCCCATGGAAGACCTAAATCTGCACGAGAGAACACACCATGCGCGCTACCTGATTGGACAGGCAGTCACCACGGAGAGAGATCGACCCAAAAGGGGCATACTTAAACAATCAATCAGGAGTTGGACAACACTACTCTGGCGACCCCGACGTGCCTCACGCGCGCGTGCAGCGACACATGCGCAGCCAAAGGCAATAAAAGGGGCCCGCATAGGTAAGCCAGCGCTTGACCCCAGTTTAGGCTGAATAAATTCTTGTCTTGATCGTCTCTTGTGAGCTACAACTGCTGGCGACGCAGATTCAACAATATGATATCAAAAGAACATACGAAACACAACAGAAAACCCTTCATGGCAGTAGCCACAGAAATTCGGCGGAACTGGGAACTGGCAGCCGAACAGAACACAACGGAAACAAAGGGAGGAACGCGTAACCGAGTTGACCTACGGCACCGAGGGAGGCGTGAGTCTGGACACCGGTTTGCGAAAATATGGAAGCCGATTCGCATAGGAGAAAATCGACGACCAGAAGGTGTAGATCATGCTCCAGAAACTGGCCCAACGGGAACGCAGGCGGCCCTTTAGGTTTAGTCTGCCTCAAAAACCATCAGGTGTCTCAGGTAAGGATACAACCCAACATTTAAAAGTAGCATTCTGCTGGCCGATAGAAGCAAATATGCCAGTTCCAGGAAGCAGATCAGAAGAAGATGCGGTCATTGGAACAAATGCTTTATTTTCCTGACGTTCTGGATTTTGTCGAGAATCCTTAATTATAGGTAGCTGTAGCATGATGTGAGACATGCACAGATTGGGGTTCCACAGCCCGGTATTCATCCTATGTTGTGAATGTTGTTTCAAACCAGGACGTAGTCCCAGCTAATGATACCTCTCAGCAAACCGCTGAAACTGGAGCAGACAACTAGGCCGTAGATAAAAGCACTGCTGTCTGTAAGTCGTTGATAGTGCCAGAAGGTGCGTACGCGGTTACTGGTTCAGGTAGACCAAAAAGGTGATATGACGGCACAGGAACTGGCAGCGGAATATGCGCCCAAATCGCAGTTCAATGTGGAAACAAAACAATTCGTTGATGCATGTTCAGCGAACGCTAACGGAACTCACCTGTCCCTCTCTGCCTTGGGCCCTGATAGCAACCACACAGTGGCCAGTAGTAGTCTTAGACAGATAGTATTGCAGGCCAAGACAAGGGAGACTGGAATGGTTATTTCTGGCCTATCAGCCGTCTTCAGCCAGTCACACCCACAGAGCGGGACAAGTGAGTTTTTTTGAGAAGAAGAGGAATTTTCGAACACTGGAACAATCATTTTATTAGC